AAAGAAAGAAAGAAAGAAAGAAAGAAAGAAAGAAAGAAAGAAAGAAAGAAAGAAAGAAAGAAGGGAGATGGGAAAAGAATGGCATATGGGTCTTGTAGTGCTCTCCTGGGGGGGAGGTCTTACCCAGAATCAACTCTTCCCCTTTAGCTCCACAGTAATTCCTTCTTCCCATTCCCGCTTTTGGATGAAGACCCACACTCCTTCAAGAATGCCCCTTTACCCTCCTTTTTCATCTCTTCTCATCTTCCTGTAGGTTTGAACGATACAGGCTGGGCCGATCAGCACAGAATTCAAGCAACGGAGTAAGTCCTCCCGCCCGCCTTTCTAAGCAGCGTAACAGCTAATGTCTTTCCTTGAGGCCAGAGTGTCCCCTCGTCCCCTAGGAATTGCGAATATTTACCATGAATATTAAACGTAATGGGTTGCGCCTCTGTTGGCAAAGCAACAGCGGGAGGTCTGCTGGCAGATTGGGAGGAACCCAGCCATTTCAAGCTGATGTGGGAAAGGATAAAGTGGAAATACCTAGCTTGGAAATTGCCTCTTTTTGGAACCTCATCGTCCTAATCAGAAAATCAGGATGGTGGCCCCAAGGGCTCAATCAAAGTTCAGCCTGTTTTTTTTTCTGTGTGTAATTCTTGATTGTAATTATTCTCCTTCTATGTCAGTGGTTACCAAACTTGGCAACTTTAAGACTTGTGGACTTTAATTCCCAGAATTCTCCAGCCAGCTCTGCTGACTGGAGAATTCTGGGAGTTGAAGTCCACAAGTCTTAAAGTTGCCAAGTTTGGGAACCACTGTTCTCTGTGTTGGGATGGGAGGCTCAGCACTGGTAGAATTCTGCCCCTTTTAGCCCAGATGACACGGCCAGGGAAAGAACGAAAACATCTGAAGAGAGGTTTAAGCGGGTGGGTGTGCTTGTGTACACCTCCCCTCCTGGCCGTAACACCCTGGGCTTCCACAGAGCCGCCCGGTGCTGCCTCCCGACTCCTGTGATCCACCGGCGATGCCATTGCTGTCGGGTGACCCCTGCTGCTACCCTGTGTGTCCCTGCAGGTTCTCAGCGAAGTGACCGAGGACAACTTAATAGACCTGGGCCCTGGGTCCCCAGCAGTGGTCAGCCCCATGGTGGGAAACACAGCCCCCGCCGCCACCCTCTCCTCTCAGCTTGCTGGGCTCGGTGAGTATTGTAGTTTCCCTTCGTCTCAAGAAGCTAGTCCACAGCGAGGGCCTTTGAAACTGGGGGGGGGGGTTGCCAGGTCGGATGCTGGCAGCTCTGTAGGAGGAAAGACCTAGGATCCAACCCTCTGCCTTTAGATACAACGAGGCCCTTTTTCATTTGCTACAGATTTGTGCACAATAAGTCTCTGTGATAAGACACAACCTTCCATTACCTGGCGCTCAATCGTCAAACCATGCTGTGCGCAAATCTGCGTTTGTCCCAGTGGGGCTCTTAGACTCAAAATTTACGTCCCATATTACCCTCAAGCTGCGTCTCATTTAATTGATTTCCGGGTCCCTTCTCTGGCTCGGAGTCTAGAGGCGAGGAGGACTGGATGTGGCACCATTTCCTCCTCCTGAATCTGATCTCTCTCTCTCTCTCTTTCCTCACCTCCCCAGAGATGCGTTTTCGCATCTAAGCTCCTCTTCCAGATCCCGGCGCTGGGCTTGTCAAGGGAGAGGAGACCAGACGGGGGGGGAGGGGGGGGGAAGGTTTCAGTCCTTCTGTCCACGTGAAGGGAAGAAGGGGAGGAAATCTGGCCACCTTCAGGCTTGGCTGCAGGGAACGTGTGAAGGCACCAAGGCTCACCATTAAAAAACAACCGAGGGCCACTTTTCCCCCCCTGCTTTTCGTTCAAAGCCAAACGGTCCCATCTTCCTTTGCTTAGGAGTTCTAGCTTTTTGTCCTCTTGTGTCTCCTCCATAGATTTGGGCACAAACAACGTGAGTGGGGCTCTCAGCTCGCTCCCCCACAGCAACCCCCGGGATGACTTTGACGTGTTCGCACAGACGAGAGGCGTCTCCGGGACAGATCAGCGCAAAACGTAAGTGGGTGTGGCATGGATCCCGCTGCCTCTCCGAAAACGTATTTCTTCTCTGTCTTCCGCCTTCATCATTTTTACAATAGCAATAGCAATAGCAGTTAGACTTATATACCGCTTCATAGGGCTTTCAGCCCTCTCTAAGCGGTTTTACAGAGTCAGCATATTGCCCCCCACAGTCTGGGTCCTCATTTCACCCACCTCGGAAGGATGGAAGGCTGAGTCAACCTTGAGCCGGTGAGATTTGAACAGCCGAACTGCAGATAGCAGTCAGCTGAAGTAGCCTGCAGTACTGCACTCTACCCACTGCGACACCTCGGCTCTTACAAATGAAACTCAAGGTGGTGAACAGATCCAACACATATTCCTCCTCCTGTTTCCCTCTCAACAACAACAACCCTGGGAGGTGGGCTGAGCTGAATGAGAGTGGCTGGACCGAAGTCACCCAGCCGTCTTTCGTGCCTAAGGCAGGACTAGAACTCGCCATCTCCTGCTTCCTAGCCAGGTGCCTTAACCGCTAGATAAAACTTGGCTCCTAGGACTGAAAGAGCTGCTCAGGCCAAGAGTCGTCCTCCGGGCCCCAGGTTCAAATCCCCCTCAGCCAGCAAATGATCAGGCGCCTTCGTTATGTGGCCACTGCGCTACAGCGAATGCATCTTTCCTGTTTTAGATACACAATGGGAGCAGATCTTCCCCCTGGGGGCTTTGCGAGAGGGAATTTGGATCGCTGAGTTAGATCGTATTTCAGACTATTTCTAGGCGACTCAGAGCCAATCCAAGTGCACTGAGAAATCAAAGACCATCAGAAAGGCAGCGTGGGACCTTTTCAGCCGTGCCAGGCCGTTGTTCGGGTGATGTGATTGTCCCCCCGCTTTCAGGGCTGTTAAAAACGGAGTCCTCCCGGCTTTCCGGATGAATGGCAGCCTCCAGAGACCTCCCAGAGACTCCGTGGTAGTTAAGCATGAATGATGCTTTCTCCTCTTTGTTCCATTGGCTCCACCCTGTGGCAGATTTAGAGGAGGGGGCAGGGATTTCTATCTAATCAGCTCCCTCTGCCTTAATTGGATTGGCCCGGTGGGCTTCTGGGAGACGCGAAATCCCCAGATTTAGGAGGTAGCGAAGTGCGGCTTTCTACATGTGTGAATTATTCAGCTCCCCATAATCCAATCTTCCCCCGCAGGCAGAAGAGTTACGTGTGCTGGCATCCGGTGGCTGCACTGGCTGTTTTCCTTTCTTTCTTGCCAATAAAACCACCCTGCTTTTGGGTCTCTTTTGCTATTGTTGGTTTCTGGTTATTCCAGCAATTCTTTCCTTTTTGTCCAGCAGGGCAAGGGACGAACCACCAACGGGATCCACTAAAGGGATGGCACCTGCCCCGGATATCCGGAAACCAAATTCAGGAGGGGTAAGTCTATTCTGCTGTATTGCCAAAGAGGTGGGTAGGTGTGTGGTGTGTGTGTCGTTCTTAAACTGAGGACACGGAAGGGCAGTGCGTTCCCTTGTGTGCAATTGTCTGTTTTTTGGGGTACCTGACTGGAAGTGCGGCAGAACGAGCTGGGGTCGTCTCCTTCTTTGGTCCTGGGGTGGGGGCTCAGCAGTCTAGAAGTATTTGGGGACCTGATATCCAGTGGGCCGGTGGGAAACTCTGGAGGACGGCCCAAAGACCCACCTTTTCTCTCAGCTTCATCTGGATGTTGCCATACTTAAAAGAGACCCTGATTTAGTGTGGAGAAATACGGGGTGCTGCTTTGGGACCGAGGCGAGGGGAGCCTTTCCCCCCCCACACCTGCAGTCTAGATTAAGTGCTAAGCACAGAGACCTGATTTGTCAACCTCCTCTCCCCCAGGAGGGATTTTCCCCTCCCTTCCCCCAGGGTTTTATACTTTCTCCAGCTGATCGTCCCCTTCCATATTCTGGCCTTTGTAGCATCCAAATGCCCATCTATCTCTAATTAATGTTAACTTCATCAGAATAAATGCTTTGTGCTCCCCCCCGAAACACAGTTGGTTCAAGGCAGTGCCCATGGCTCTGTTTTCTTCCCCTGTCCCCATTTTTATCCTCACCGTTAAAATGAGAGATTTACATTTGCCCAACCAGCTTTATAGCCAGGATTGGAATCTGGATCCCTCCAGTGGTAATAATCGGTGATAGAGGGAAACTTTGCTGCCATTTAAGGCCCAGTTCAGACCTCTTGAGTTTGGGGAGAAGGGATTGCACAAGTCTGGAGGGCACAGAGTTCAGCTTTGTGTGTTGTCAGCTCAAAGGGCCTCCTGGAGCAGGGCCGGAGTACGTGAAGGTGTGTCTCTCCCTCCCCTCCTCCCAAGACTTTGCCCACAGGTGAAAACCTTCTTATTTTGCTTCCCGGCTGCCTTCAACCCTTGTACACTGTAGCCATCGCTGCCCTTTCGATTTTCAGCCCTGATACACTTCACCGTGGCTGAAAAACCAGGCACGGCTTCCATAACTGCCTCGCTCAGCGACAGAAATCCTGGTCCCTGTTATAGTCCTAATCCGAGGCCCACCTGCAGCCTTGGCTGGCCAGTACCCAAAGCATGGCTTGTTGAGAACCCTTGCAAGCAAAGGCGTGGCCCTCTTGGCTCAGGAGGTGGGCACAGGAAGGGGCGCCTCCTCTACCCTAGGTGGTGCAGTGGTTAGAGTGCAGTACTGCAGGCCACTTCAGCTGATTGTTAGCTGCAGTTTGGCGGTTCAAATCTCACCGGCTCAAGGTTGACTCAGCCTTCCATCCTTCCGAGGTGGGTGAAATGAGGACCCAGACTGTGGGGGCGATATGCTGACTCTGTAAACTGCTTAGAGGGGGCTGAAAGCCCTATGAAGCGGTATATAAGTCTAATTGCTATTGCTATTGCTACCCTCAGGCTATCGATTCTTCTCTAGAACCAGATGGGAGTGTGGGAGGCCCAAGGCCTTTTCCCCAGGTGCCTGCAGCTGGACGTCCCGCATCTGCGTTGGGAGGGGGGCAGCGTGGGGCGAGTTTTTCTAACCTATGGTAACGAGGCTTTCTGTTCTCAACACACAGCGGAGAGGTAAAGGTGGGAGTTGCCCCATGGAGCCCATAGACAGGTGGCTCATTTCCCAAGGAATGGTGAGCACCATTTTGCCATTCGGTGACCTCCCCTCCCCCCTCCGTGTCGCTCTCACGCCCCCCCGGTGTCCCCTTTTCGCCGGCCTCACCACCCGTCCTTCACCTGTCACTCAACCTGTTCAAACAGGACCAGCGTGGTGGAAGTAAGGGGAGGGTGTAGGGATGGGGAGATGGAAGGCTGGGCTGCTCGTGGGGGGGGGGGGGCTGAATGCAGGTAGTCCTCGATTTACAACAGTTCATTCAGTGACCGTTAAAATTCACAAAGGGCGCTGGGAAAAGTGACTTTGGATCCTTTTTCACAGTTAGGACCTTGGAATCCTCATCCCCACAGCTGGGTGATGAGAATTCAGACACTTGGCCACTGGCTCACACTTATGACCATTGCAGCATCCCGGGGTCATGTCTTATTTCCCCCTTTTTGCGACCTTCAAAGTCAGCGGGGAAGCCAGATTCACTTAACGACCGGGTTACTAACTTAACCACCGCACTGATTCACTTAACCACCGAGGCAAGGAAGGTCACAAAATGGGGCAAAACCCATTTATTACCAAACCTCTCTCTTGACGAAAGAAATTTTGGGCTCGATTGTGGTCGTAACTCGAGGACTACCTGTACTTTTTTTTCAGACGGGGAACGGGGGTGGCGGTGGGGGGACACACAAAGAGACGTATTGCTCGCGCGCTGGCCTTGTTTTCCAATACTTGGGTGGATCTCTCCACTGGTCCCTTGTACTGTCTTTATTTTTTTATTTTTTAATACCTGCAGTTTTGCCTTTTTCCCCTCCCTGGTAAACACAAGTCCTCCGACGTTTGGGGTTCTGCACAAGGCAGCACAAAAGAGCCACCTGAGCTCAGGTGAAAGATGCTTGATCCGTCTCTTCCTCTTCCCCTCTGAGGCCCTCAGGTGTTTTGGACTTCAACTCCCATCCTCCTCTGGGCAGCCCAGAAGCTCCGCATACCTGGGCCGCCCTCGGTTCATCCGCCTTCCTGCTAAGGTTGGGAGGAAGAGGAGGGAAATAACAGCATGGCCTGCAAAAGCAGAAAACCCGAAAACAGCAGGCAGCAAACTCTCCTACCTGAGTGTTTTTCAAGCTGGACCACTGGAAGATGTCTGGACTTCAACTCCCAGAATTCCCCAGCCAGCTATGCTGGGAGTTGAAGTCCTCGCGTCTTCAAGTAGTCCAGCTTGAGAAACTCTTGTTCTACACTCCCCCCCAGCATGCTGGGTATAAACTCTGCCTGGGAGATTCTGCTGCTTTCGAACCATTATTATTATTATTATTGCAAAGGAAGGGAGGGGAAGGAAAAACCCTAAATACAGCTAGGCAGGAAAGTGCAGGAGTTAGTGGGACATTATTTAAGTCGCCCTGAAGTTATACATTGAAAGGGGAGTTTCAGTAGCAGTCATCCCCAGGCTGCTGATCGCAGCTTCTTTTTTTTAAATCACATTTTTATTGGTTTGTCAAAATATAAAATACAGAGAGAATTTTTTTAAAAAAAGTAATAGAAATCAGGTGGGGAAAGGGAGGAAAAGGAACTGTGAATTTTTGCAGGAGACAAATTCTTAGCAAAACGTGAAAGGAGGGAAGGGATTTGNCCCAGATTGTTGGGGGCAATATGCTGACTCTCTGTAAACCGCTTAGAGAGGCCTGAAAGGCCTATGAAGCGGTATATAAGTCTATTGCTATTGCTCTGCATATTTAAACGTGGGCTGGGGTCTCTCTTTCGCCAACCGCCGTTTCCTTTGCTAGAGCGTCCCTGAAATCGACCCAGCTGCCAACATGCACAAGTCCCAGTCTCAGCAGAAGATGAGCTCCAGCACCTCCCCCACGTCCTTCCCGGCTCCCCAGACCCCCCCTCTGAACGTGACCGGCCCCATCATAGCAAATACGGAACAGGTAAGGTCTCTGGAGGACGGGGCTCCGGGGTGACCCCCTCCCCTGCACTCCTTCAGGAGTCCTGGGTCGGCTTTTACCTACAAAAGCACTTCTTTCCTCCTTACCTGCCTGCCCTCCCCCTTCTCTTCCCCACCCCCCTCCCCAAGATTGCACGATTACGCAGCGAGTTGGACATTGTTCGTGGCAACACCAAAGTGATGTCGGAGATGCTGACGGAAATGGTCCCCGGGCAAGAGGATTCCTCAGACCTGGAGTTACTGCAGGTGAATTTATGAGAGGGGCAGTTTTCCTAGCTCTTCTTGCACAGCAGGTAATCCTCGACTTACGGCCATTCATTTAGTGACTATTCAGAGTTACAGCGGCACCGGAGAAAGTGGTTTGCACGAGCATTTTTCACACAACCACGGCAGCCTCTCCAGGGTCACATGATCAAAATTGAGACGCTTGGCAACCGGCTCGTATTTATGACGGTTCCGGGGGTCACATGAGAGCCCCTTTTTGCGACCACCTGACCAGCAAAGTCGACGGGGAAACCAGATTCCCTCTGGGTTACTAACTCAACCACTGCAGCGATTCACTTAACAACTGTGGCAGGAAAGGTCGTAAAACGGGGCGAAATTCACTGAAGAAATGTCTCGCCATCAGAAATTTTGGGCTTACTTATGGTCGTAAGTCGTTTCTGTGTTTGTTTTCTCTTTCCTGGTTTTATTTTATATTANTGCAGGCCACTTCAGCTGACTGTTATCTGCAGTTCGGCGGTTCAAATCTCACCGGCTCAAGGTTGACTCAGCCTTCCACCCTTCCGAGGTGGGTGAAATGAGGACCTGGATTGTTGTTGGGGGCGATAGGCTGACTCTGTAAACCGCTTAGAGAGGGCTGAAAGCCCTATGAAGCGGTATATAAGTCTAACTGCTAATTGCTATTGCTATTAGGGAACAGAGTGATAATTAGGGGGAGTTAGACTGCTTGTAAAGAGTCCCTCACCCACCCAAGAGAGAATGGAGGCAACTCCTGACATCTTTTACCTTTTAAATCCCTCGAAAGATTGCACCCTTCCCCACACCAGGTCATCCCACTGTTTCAATTTCTTGGGGAGGCCCTTAAGACAACTATATTTCTCCCCCTGACTTGAACGTTCTGCTCCCCCTCCTCCGTGGTTCCAAGCATCCAGACTGCTAGCTTGTGTTTGTTCAGCTTGGAAAAAAAGGTTACTGCCCCCTTCGCGGACCCTTTAACAACACCCGTACGGAATCGGAGAGGCTGGTGGCTGCCCAGTCTGTCCTTCCCAAGCTCCCCATCCCTGTTTGTTCTTAACACGGACATATTTGACCTCCTCTGTCCAACTAACCCCTAACCATGTTCCCAGCAGCAGAAGCTGCTAGCCGTGTCTCTTTAGGAGAGGCACCTAATAATACAATGGACCTGCCCAAGTGTGCAAGCAGACAGGTGAGACGGAAGTGCAAGGACACAGGAAGAGTCCCTCGCCAAAGGCTGGAAACTTAAAGGATTTAAAGCACTTCGGGTCAGCTCATTCTCTTTTCCAGACAATATTTTTCTACGTGTCTCAGTCTTGATTGCGAGCCCCCTTCGGTTCGGGCACCTCGTAGCCTAGACTCAGCAGCCAAGTGGCTTTGAAGGAGCTTCCTTCCGTGTTGACCCTTGACCCAACGCATGGAAACCGGCCCCAGCCGTTGCTTCACTGGCTGCGACTTGCCGCACAATACCTGAATCGACAAGCCACGGTTATAGCGGTCGCTCCTCCGTCCAGACGGCCCAGGACTGGAGAAAGGGGAACGTTTGGCAAATGGGGAATGAAAAGCCAGCAATTACGATATCTGACAATGGCAAGACACAGGTTTGGGTCTGAAGCTGGAGGATCATTTGATCGTTTCGATGAGCGTTCCGTTTCCGGGCAGGCCTGAGCTGGGAGGGGAATCTCATTCTGTGTGGTTGCGGCAGAAGCCAGCTCTGCCTGGCCCAGATTTGGCAAAGATCCGATTGATTTCTCTCTCCCCTCCGCCCCTGATCTGTGTCTTTGAGCCAGACCACCTTGACCAAGCGGGGAATGGACAGAAGGGGTTTTTAGACCTATTCGCACAAGGCAGCCTGCTGGACATGAGAGGCAAAGGGCGGGATCACAACTTAACATTGAATTGTTCTTCGGGTTGCGCATCAATTTGGGCGAGAGGCCCTCCCCCCCCCCCACCGCTTGACCTACAGAATTCAGATTAAAATCAGCTGCGATATTGATTTAGACCATCGCCTGGCGGCCCGATGTTATCCGCCCTCCACTGTCCTGAGAGGGGGGGGGGCAGAAGGCGTGTGCTGTGTGTGTCTGCGTGTGTGAATGTGTGTATACGCAGAAGCACCTTACAACTTGTGTGGATCGGAATTTGCCCAGCGAACGCTTCTTTGTGCCCATGAAAGAGGAACAGGGGCGAAAGGAATCTCGGAATTCAGAACCGTCCCACTAAATCCCAAGGGATTTTCGGATGTCCGTGCAGCCGGTCCGAGGTTGACCCTTATGGGCCGGGGCTTCTTCCCCCCCCGTCTTGCTTCTCTCACCCAGCTGCACACTTCGGCACCGTTTCCCAAAGCCTTCGTTCCTGCCCACCCGCTCCCCCTCGAAGGGCATCCTTCCTGCTCTCCTACCTTCCGTTGTGGGTTAGGAAGCAGGTGGCAGCCCCATTGCTCCTGGTTTAGAGGGTGCCCACCCCTCTCAACCGCCCCCCACCCCCCCCATTTCACTCATCATAACCTTTCCTGTGTTGAGTTTTGCTAGCCACACGGCCTCGTTTTCACATTGCTTTCTTTGTGGGTGTGCTTTTTTTTTCCCCGTTCGGTTGCGACCCCCACCCCCTACCCCCCGTGCGATGACAGCAGTGCACTTTTTATTTTAATTTTACGACAGCAATGCATCTTACACAGCCTATATTTGTGTTTTTGTTTTTGTTTCTCCCTCTTTTTCCTCTCTTTTGTTCCTTCCTCTCTCTCTCCCCCCACCCCTCATTCTGGGCCCATATTTCTGGGTGTATTTTTTGGTCTTGTTTTTCCGCCTTTGCTGCCCTGCCTAGATTCCTGTCCCACAATCCTCTGTCATGGAGGACATTGAGGAGTGGCTGAGTACCGACGTGGTAAGAGACTCTCTGGTTCTTCTGCTTTGGTCCTCGTTTGCACTTTAGAAATTTGCCTCCGAGGAGGAGGAAGAGGAGGAGGAGGAGGAGGAGGGCAGGGTGCTGCCAGGGCAGGAGCTCTCCTTTGGCACACGTTTCTAAGAGACAGGCGGTCCTCGACTTACAACAGTTCATCCAGTGACTGTTCGAAGTTACAACGCCACTGAGCAAAGCCACTTACGGCCGTTTTTCTCCCCGAAGGACTGTGGCAGCGTCCCCTGGTCACGCCATCCAAACTCAGATGCTTGGCCAGGGGTTCGTATTTCGGATGGCCGCAGCGTCCCGGGTGACGTGATCCGCTTTTGTAGCCTCCCGAGAAGCGAAGGCCAATGGGAAAGCCAGATGTACTTGACCATTCTGTCACTTGACTTAATTGCAGTGATTCGCTTAACAACAGTGGCAAGAAATGTCGTAAAATGGGGCAAAACTCAAATATTTCACTTAGCGACAGAAAGGTTGGGCTCAATTGTGGCCGTAAGTCGAGGTACTTCCTGTACTCCTGGGAAAAAAGATGTGGGGTGAAAGGAAGATGGGGGGGGGGCTGGACCGGCAGGTGGGAGACATCCAGACATGGGCGGCCTCTGGAACAGATGTGTGCTGAAGGAGAGGGGAGGATTGGCCAACTCCCAGGAACTTAGAAGGTGTATAAGCAACGTTTCTTAACCTTGGCAATTACTAAGAGAAGTGGACTTCAACTCCCAGAATTCCCCAGCCCACAGGAAAGTCTAGAGCAGTGTTTCTCAACCTTGGCAACTTGAAGATGTCTGGACTTCAACTCCCAGAATTCCCCAGCCCGCAGGAAAGTCTAGAGCAGTGTTTCTCAACCTTGGCAACTTGAAGATGTCTGGACTTCAACTCCCAGAATTCCCCAGCCCGCAGGAAAGTCTAGAGCAGTGTTTCTCAACCTTGGCAACTTGAAGATGTCTGGACTTCAACTCCCAGAATTCCCCAGCCCGCAGGAAAGTCTAGAGCAGTGTTTCTCAACCTTGGCAACTTGAAGATGTCTGGA